CTGTAGTGTGTCGTTCAGGGGGGTGGGGCAAAGACGAGAGGAAAAGAAGCATATCGGTGTCTTGGGGGTTTTCTGCCGGTGTTTGAGATTTAACAAAGGAATCACCGGCTGAACGCTACTGCAGTACAGGTAAGGGCATGGTTAGCCTTGTTTTGTGGAATGTTATATATTTGTCTGTATGCATTCTCATAGTGAAGCAACTGGCAGCTAGCTGGATTATTATTAACGAGCGAGTAGCCCCTCGGTCATGCTCTCACGACAGCGAGATGCACATGGCTAGTGGTCAACAGGTTTCAAAACCTCGACATAACAGGAAACAGCCAATGAAAGCGTTGCCTCTGTTGTAATCGGATTCTCTTTTCTTTCCTCCCGTTTAGGACCGGAAAGAAGAGTTTATATAACGAGACTGTTTTGAACGCCACTTAGGTTAACTTGGAGAGGCTTTTTCTAGGCAATTCAAACTTGTGTTCGTTGCCTTGGTTTTTTTTTAAAAAAAGGAGTTGCTCGAAAAATTATTAGTTACACATGCATACCTTCTCTTCTAAAAAATAAAATGCTAGAAAAAGTTTCAGTTGCTCGATATAGTAAAATTGAGCCAAATTCCAGTCCTGTCTATGGAAGTTATTAAGGTGCTGTGCCTGTGTTGAAATTTTTTTTGCACAGAAAACAGGCTTCCGCCCTGGTCACATGGGACATCGTGGGGGGGAGGCGTGGCTAATTGCCCTGGCACAGTTTGATCCGATCAGACGCTAAGGTGGCACACCACCAGTCCTTCCCTTGGCACCGGGTACAAGGGACTGGAGGGGAATGCTACCTGCGCGATCACATCACTGGCGTCTGTGGCAAACGTTTACTAGTACCTTGGAGGTACTAGTTTTTTAACTGGCATTGTCAGCAGTAAACCACGGGTGCACTCCACTTCCCAGATGTTGGGGTGTGATCACGCCCGGATAATCTCTCCTGCAGCAACTTTGCCGTGTGACCGGGGCTTTCATTTATCTTCCTTGTGATTCTGGAGAGGAAGATGGAAGCAAAAACAGGGTTGCCAGTCTCCAGGCGAGGGCTGGGGAGCTCCTTGAATTACAACTGATCCCCAGTTTCCGTGGAGGAAAAGGCTGCTTTGGGGGATGAACTCTGTGGCTTCGCAATACCACTGAGGTCTCTCCCCAAACTCTGTCTTCGCCAGACTTCACTACCAAATCTCCAGGAACTTCCCAACCCAGAGTTGGTAACCCTAGCATCTGAGTAGAAGCTTTCCTGTGGGTTTCAGGGCAGAAAGATACATGACGGTGGATTTGGCATATAAAACAACTTTTCACCCAAGCAGCACATTGGTTCAGCCTTAAATGTCACTGCACTCAGCATGAAAAGGATTGCAGCACTAACTATCCACAATAGATGTCTTTAGAAGAGCGATTTTTAAATTTCCCTTTCAAAAGAAGAGACTGACAACAAGCCACTAGGCTGCCCTTGTTCGTTCAGTGTTGTTGCTATTCCTGTTAGGCGACTGATTTTAAGTAGGAGGGTTTGGGGGCGTGTTAACTGAATGAGAACTGAAGGGCCAGCGGGCTTGGGAAGAACTACCTGCCGTTCTTTAAATCAGAGCTCTGAAGCGAAATGGCTAGATTTGACTTCTTGTCTCTCAGCTGCTTTTTCATATTGAGGGCTAATGATCTAATAAAGGATGACATTTAATTAATGAAGTCACACATTTGCTGGATAACTTGCTGTTGGAAAGAAGTCAGCCTCCCAGTGTGTTGTGTTCCAAGCTAGGTAGAAGAAGGTTCAGTTTGTACATAGTGTGCTGCCATCAGTAAGCGTTAACTGTAGGCAGTAGTAGTTTAGTAAAACTGCTGTTTTCCCAGTAGTTGCCCCTGGGAATTGTAGTTCTCAGTTAAAGGTCCCAAAGGCATCCCAAAAATAGGAATTTTTATTGTTCTTTTCCGTTTCTTTGTCTATCCTTACCACAAGGAGAAGGGGAAACTAATCTCTTTCTCACCACAGCTATAGAATTGACCTAGATCACAAGATGTAACGTTTCCACCCAGCTATCAGCTTGATTGTGAGTAAATGGTCTTCTGAATGTGTTGTTGTTGTTCAGTCGCACAGTCGAGTCCGACTCTTCGCGATCCCATGGACCAGATCACACCAGGCTTACCGATCTTCCGCCGTCCTTTGAAGTTTGCTCAATTTCATGTTCGTTGCATCTATGACACTGTCTAACCATCTCATCCTTTGCCGTCCCCGTCTTCTTTGACCTTCAATCTTTCCCAGCATCAGGGTCTTCTCCAGTGAGTGCTCCCTTCTCATTTGGTGGCCAAAGTATTTGAGCTCCAGTTTCATTATCTGGCCTTCCAGGGAACAGTTAGGGTTGATTTCTTTTAGGATTGACTGATTTGATCTTCTTGCAGTCGAAGGGACTCTCAAGAGTCTTCTCCAGCACCATAGTTCAAAAGAATCTATTCTTCGGCGCTCGGCCTTCCTTATAGTCCAACTCTCACAGCCATACATGACTACTGGGAATACCATTGCTTTGACCATGCGGACTTTTGTTGGCAGGGTGATGTCTCTACTTTTTATCATGCTGTTTAGGTTCGCCATCGCTTTCCTCCCAAGGAGCAGGCGTCTTTTAATTTCATGACTGCTGTCACAGTCTGCGGCGATCTGGGATCCCAGGAACGTGAAGTCTGTCACTACTTCCACAGCTTCCCCTTCTATTTGCCAAGGAGTGATGGGGCCGGATGCCATGATCTTAGTTTTTTTGATGTTGAGCTTCAAGCCCACTTTTGCGCTCTCCTCTTTTACCCTGAGCAAGAGGCTCATGAGGTCCTCTTCACTTTCTGCCATCAGAGTGGTATCGTCTGCATATCTGAGGTTGTTGATCTTTTCCCCAGCAATCTTAATTCCCGCTTGTGATTCATCCAGGCCAGCATTTCGCATGATGTACTCTGCATATATATTAAATAAGCAAGGCGACAATATACATCCTTGTCGTACTCCTTTTCCTATGCTGAACCAATCAGTTGTTCCATATCCGGTTCTAACTGTCGCTTCTTGGCCCTTATACAGGTTTCTCAAGAGACATGTGAGGTGGTCTGGTACTCCCATCTCTTTAAGGCCCTGCCATAGTTTGTTGTGATCCACACAGTCAAAAGCTTTAGCATAGTCAATGAAGCAGAAGTAGATATTTTTCTGGTACTCTCTTGCTTTCTCCATAATCCAGCGAATGTTGGCAATTTGATCTCTAGTTCCTCTACCTCTTCGAAACCCAGCTTGTACTTCTGGTAGTTCTCTATCCACGTACTGTTGAAGCCTAGCTTGTAGGATCTTGAGCATGACCTTGCTAGCGTGTGATATGAGTGCAATTGTGCGATAGTTTGAACATTCCTTGGCATTGCCCTTCTTTGGGATTGGAATGTATACTGACCTTTTCCAATCCTGTGGCCACTGTTGCGTTTTCCAAATTTGCTGGCAAATGGAGTGCAGCACTTTAACAGCATCATCTTCTAAGACTTTGAATAGCTCAGCTGGAATACCATCACCTCCACTAGCTTTGTTGTTAGCAATGCTTTCTAAGGCCCATTTAACTTCACATTCCAGGATGTCTGGCTCGAGGTCAGTGATTATACCGTCGTGGTTGTCAAGGACATCGAGGTCTTTCTTGTATAGTTCTTCTGTGTATTCTTGCCATCTTTTCCTAATCTCTTCTGCTTCTGTTAGGTCCCTACCGTTTTTGTCCTTTATCATGGCCAGCTTTGCATGGAACGCTCCCTTGATTTCTCCAACTTTCTTGAAGAGATCTCTAGTCCTTCCCATTCTATTGTTTTCTTCTATTACTTTGCACTGTTCATTCAGGAAGGCCTCCTTATCTCTCCTTGCTGTTCTCTGGAAATCTGCGTTCAGTTGGGTAAATCTTTCCTTTTCGCCTTTGCCTTTCGCTTTCCTTCTTTCCTCTGCTATTTGTAAAGCCTCATCAGAAAGCCACTTTGCTTTCTTACATTTCTTTTTCTTTGGGATGGTGGTGATTGCTGCCTCCTGTACGATGTCACGAACCTCTGTCCATAGTTCTTCAGGCACTCTATCTATCAAATCCAGACCCTTGAATCTATTCTTCACCTCTACTGTATATTCATCAGGGATGCGATCTAGGTCAAACCTGAATGGCCTCGTGGTTTTCCCAATTTTCTTCAGTTTAAGTCTGAATTTTGCAATGAGTAGCTCATGATCTGAACCACAGTCAGCTCCAGGTCTTGTTTTTACTGACTGGATAGAGCTTCTCCATCTTTGACTGCAAATTATATAGTCAATCTGATTTCGGTGTTGCCCATCTGGTGATGTCCATGTGTAGAGTCGCCTCTTAGGTTGTTGGAAAAGGGTGTTCGCTATGACCAGTGTGTTCTCTTGACAAAACTCTGTTAACCTTTGCCCTGCTTCATTTTGCTTTCCAAGGCCAAACTTGTCTGTTATTCCAGTTACCTTTTGACTTCCTACTTTAGCATTCCAGTCCCCTATGATGATGAGGACATCATTTTTTGGTGTTAGTTCTAGGAGGTGTTGTAGGTCTTCATAGAACCGGTCCACTTCAGCCTCTTCTGCATCAGTGGTTGGGGCATAGACTTGGATTACTGTGATGTTGAATGGTTTGCCTTGGAATCGGACAGAAATCATTCTGTCATTTTTGAGATTGTATCCCAGTACTGCCTTTTGCACTCTCTTGTTGACTATAAAGGCCACACCATTTTTTCTACGAGATTCCTGGCCACAGTAGTAGATATAATGGTCTTCTGAGTTAAATTCGCCCATTCCTGTCCACTTTAGTTCACTGATTCCTAGGATATCGATGTTCAGTCTTGCCATCTCATTTTTGACCACGTCAAGCTTACCTTGATTCATAGATCTTACATTCCAGGTTCCTATGTAGTATTGTTCTTTGCAGCATTGGACTTTCCTTTCACCATCAGACACATCCACAACTGAGCGTCCTTTCGGCTTTGGCCCAGCCGCTTCACTCTTTCTGGGGTTACTTGTACTTGTCCTCTGCTCTTCCTCAGTAGCATATTGGACACCTTCCGACCTGAGGGGCTCATCTTCCGGCGTCATATCTTTTAGCCTTTTGATACTGTCCATGG